TCGCTTGATTAGATCCAGTGGGGAAGGAGTTATGCCTGAAAAGTACGAGTGAAGAAGCTTTCGGCCGAATACTTTCGAGCGTTACTGTATATTATATGTGGTCTCAGTCAAACGTTTGACTGATGAATGTACTAAAGAGGCATTCCAGGATCGCCTCTGGAATAAACTTAGATTTAACGTAGGTAAGAAGAGTGTGCAGCCGGCGCCGTTCAAAGGGCTCTGGAAAGAAAAACGCTCAAAGATCTTCTCTGCATGCAAGTTCGGAGTTCTGAGCTCCGCCAACAGAAGAAGTCCAAGGATGCTTGCTCCAAGAAATCACCAGAACTGTCCTCGTCCTGGGATGCGCGGTGATTGCACGCTAAGCTGATCTTCTATTGAGCGGTCTCTTCCAAATGGCTAACCAACATTAGGGCGGTTGCCAGCAGGGTAGCCAGACTTCTTCGTGAAAAAAGTGAACGACAGGATGGTAGAGCCCAATCCCTCGGACGAGGAGGAATGGAGACGTTGCTGACGTCTACTCGATGACGGGTGACAGGTGATACAGGTGCGTTCATCCGAATCCGACTTGAAAGAGATGCGGTGTATGGTGAAATGAGATACTTTCTACTCAAAAACAAGGCAGACTTTCTTTGTACCTGTGCTGTTCATTACACTGCAGCAACTAAGCAGCAGCTAGTAATGGTGAAAAGGTGGAGCCCGTTGATGTCCCATTATCTCAAGTTTGTGACAGATCCTAATTAAAATTCATTGGGTCTGTAAAGGAAAAGTGCTAAGGGAAGTTCCGAAAGAATACTGAGCAGTGAGGTTGTTCACCTAGTGTGAAGTCTACAGACGGGTACCTGAGCGGCAGTTTGGTGAGGAAGACACCAAAAACATTTGCTCTTGAAGTCAGCGCCTAACTCGTCAGTCTTAGATGACCTAACAAATGGACGGTAGAGGGCTGGGCAGAATGGCCGAACAGTCTCCTTCCAGTTTTGCATAGCCACTATAGATCCTCCTCTTTGTTGACTGGTTTACTCGATTCCTCGTTACTGAGCTAGAGAGCCATTGAAATCCCCTTACCACTCAGATCGATGTCGCGCAAATACCTCGATTGCTTCCCGACAGCTCACATTCTGCAGAGGAGTATTCGCAGGCTGTTGAAACGCTGGCAGGAGGTCATATACGTATATTTGATCTCAAAAAAATTTTGAAAATTCTTAAATATTTCCGGCCAAGGTAATAACATGAGTACGGTAGTGGTACTGGTAAGATTCAGAAGTTGTAAGCTAGCGATCGGTAAGGCCTTTTTCTTTGAAAGAAGGAAAGTGAATAAAGGATAATTTCTCCCATCAAAACTGTTGAAGGATGATTTTGCTGTGGAGAACTGCGATCCCTGGCGAGCTTCCAACAGGCTAAACTGAATAAATACAGAAGTTTAGTTTTGTTGGCATGAACTTTTGGGTAACACACTCATTTCCAGAACACGTCTCTCCATCTGTCTCCCACACAAAATCGTAGTGACGTTTTCAGTTCTTCTTTGGCCTTTTCAATGGCTTGCGGTGGTTAGCCACGTAAAAGCTAGTGCTCTGGTCCTTCAAGATAAGTCTGTTGCCAATTAACCAACCCAGGAGGGACGGAATGTTTGGATGGCATGGGCAGGTATCTATCCGGAATTCGGACATCGGACTATGCTACGTGTGTGATAATGGGCCACTTGCAGTAGATTACCACCCAGAATTCTGAACAGGCACAATAAAATAGTTCATACCTCTTCAATGGCACGTCCCTACGATTCTATTCATTTTCAACCGAATGATATATTTTGTTCGCTGTGTTTGACATCACATGAACAACATCTCATGTTACATGTAACAAGCTTCAAACGACTGCCTCTTCACCGCTCCACCCACGTACAGTAGTGCGAGATTGGAGAAATGGACCGTGTTTCCACCAAATACGAGAAAAGCGGGAATAAAGTCCCCGTATGAGTAATTTGCTAGAGCCTCTTAGGAATTGAAGCCAAGCCAAGCCAGGTTCTCACAAAATTTGCAAACGGTACCGTTGTTCTCATTTTATGTTAAGCCAAAGTGACCATACCCTTCCGTTCGATGGCAAGTCACTGATTTCCAAACCTTTTTGATGGCTCTTATGAAAAATCGTGCTCTATTGTTCTAAGAGGACAAGGAAAGAACATTTCAAAACAAAAACTATCATAAAATCATAAAATTTCATAAAATACAAAAAAGTTACATACATTACATTTGAAATGTATACAGTATTTTCAAGAAATGGAGTAAATACTCGGTAGGATTTTCTCAAATCTTTTTGATTGTATAAGGATTTTTATAAAGTAGAACCAGTGTAGAT